CATGCACTGCTAGTAGGAGCCCAAGAGTGGGATTTGCTCATGCCGAGTGAAACTTGCAGTTTATACACAGAAATCCAGCAATCCCCCTCTCTAATATGTACCTCCAAGAGACTCTCACACAGGGCCATAGGGATATGCATATGAGACTTAGAGAAGTCAAATAGGATAGAATACGTGTACTCATCAGAATCAGTATACTAGGGGCGGGCAGGTGGCGTAGTGGTTAAGGCACCAGACCCCACATGATCGACTGTAGTTCAAGTCTAGACCTGAAGACTTAAAAATTACACTGGGTGCATGTGCGTGCACGCCCAAAATCCCAGGAGGAGAAGGGATTGTGGTCTGGCCATTCCCCTTTGGGGAAGATTTCTCACTTTCTCTCACTGTCTCTGGGGAGCCCTATGGCAAAAACCCTTCTTAACATATTTAATAAACTAGGGGTGCCTAACAGTAAAATGGATAGCTCATAAGGTTTTTTAATGCAGATATTTATAACACAGTGAGAACTATAAAGTATTTTTTTAATATTAAAAAGCCTGCCTACAGATACCTTAAACACATAGAACATACATTTTGGAAGACTATCCAAGCTATATCCCACACAGATAAGAATCTCTATGAAGGGGAGAAGAATGGAAATGGGGGGGATGGCAGGTGGCATGGTGGTTATGGCACCGGACTCCCACGTGGTTGACCATGGTTCAAGTCCTAGACCTGGTGGCTTGCTTACTCATTTTCCTTTTCTCTCTGTATCTCTCTGGCTGAATTTTAAAAAAAATAAATAAAATAAAAATAAAAATGAAAAATAATAAATTAAGTCAATAAATCTTTTTAAAAATGGAAATGGGGATCAGATATGAAGTAAAAGAAAAAAAAAAGAAAAAACAAGAAGGCAGAAGAGGAGTTTTGCATTAATAACATAATGATTATGGGCCACAACCAACTTAATGCCCTGTACCTGAAGTCTGAGAGAATGGCAAACACAGTAATTTAAAACAGACCAGTTGATTGAAAGCTCTACTGGAACTGTTTTTTTTCCGCCTCCAACTTCCAGCCCTGAGAAGTTCTGCTCACTGGTTTCCTTGCTCTGCACATCAGCTGTGTGGACCACACATTCCTGTAACACCATACTCACATCCACATACTTACAACATCTATGAAACGCAGAGACTTGAAAGTTGCTCCAGGTGGGCATCCCATTGCAGAGAGAGAAGGATAGTGGCCTTCTTCCAAAACATACTGATTCCCAGAGAAATTCTCTCCATCATATGCAACCCAGCTACAAGAGGAAAACACACATGCAGAGTATGCAATTTAGTACCTTATTCAAACTTCTGATTTTTTAAAATGCAGGCTTCCTACTCGCTTGTGGTGAGTACTGTTCCTTATTCAAAAATATCTGGATATGTTTTATTGTACTTCACCTTGTGATAAATGGATATTCCTAAGCCAGCCGGCTTTGCATTGGGGAAATAAAACTTTCTATATGAAATGACCCCTGTTTTAACTCCTCCCCCTCCCAGCCTCCTTGGCTCCTCTCCTAGGTGCCATCGTGTTCCAGCCATGGCACTTGAAGCCCTTGAGTCCTCTGAATAGTCCTTCTCAGTCTCGACAGCTGCTCAGTCACCATTGATGTCTTCCCCTTTTCTCTCACACACCTTTTTGTCTTCTTTTCTAATATGCCAGCACTGGGCCAGGAGTCAACATACTGTAGTGACTTAGTGACTCACACAAATCGGCCTCTCTGGCTGGGCCTCGATATTATTGAAAAAGTGGTGATTGACCATGCTTCTCTAGAAGCGGTGAGTGAGTGGTTGTTGATGTTTTTAATCCTGCAAATGCTTACTGAGGACTAAATGTGTGTCAGGTACTTTTCCATTGCTGGGGATACAGCAGAGAATAGAACAAGGTCCCTGCTGTCTTGAAGTTTAAACTCTAGTGAGCCGAGACAGATATTAATAACAAAAATATGTTCACATCTGGCAGTAATAAATGAAGCAGTGTGGGGGATAAGGACGAACAGGGAGGCCCAGCCATTGCAGCACAGGTTGTAAACGCCACTCTGTATTACTGTCAGCCAGTCCCTGGTTGACTTGAGCTACTGGGTGCACACACATACCCATGATCCTGGCTGACTGAAAGGCTAAGGAGGAATTGTGGTGTGGTAAAACCCTGGTCAAAGGTGCCTGCATCTCTCTCTCTCTCTCTCATGAAAAGAAAAAATGAACTTGCAAAAATTAAAAAATAAAAACATTTAGGATGAACTAGGATAGGGTTGAAGTATGTTCTAGAAGCTGGAAAGCTTACTGTCAATCTGTGTATTTGAATGTAATTCTATGTTCTTTCACCATGTAATGCTAAATTATATGACTATGCTATTTAGGCCATAAAGAACTACAGGATTAACCACTGGCCAGGCTGCAGTGGCACAGAGGTTGTGGGCCGCTCTGCAACGCTGGAAACCATATGGAAGACTGGGGCTTGGTTTCTCGTTTGACCTGTACAGGCTAATCATGCATGTGCATGCCCATGATCCTGGCTGGCTGGGAAGGCTGAGGTGAGGTCTGTGGGGTGAGACCCTATTGAGGATAGCTCTCTCTCTCTCTGTTTTTCTCTTATGAAGTAAGCCTTTTAAAAATACCACTATCACTATTATTATAGGATTTAAATTCTCGTCACCTATTACACAGATTGCCCCTAGAGTTGCCTGACTGTTTCCCTGACTTTGGGCTCTCCCATTTCTGATGAAGCTTTTGGAGAACCACTGTTCAGCGTGGGACGGTGAGCCCATTGCCTTGACCCTGTCTTGTGTTCCCTATGACATTCATCCATCTAAACTCATAAGCTCAGGGGAGTTTATACAGTCAATCCAGCCTCACAGTCCAAGCGGGCTCCCCTTCTCTCCAGTGCAGGGCAGCCCTCTCACTAGGAAGGCTGCTAGGCTCTTTGATGAGCATACACACCAGTTCCACACAACCCCGCATTTTTCTTTGCCTGCTTGTCACAAAGTACGCATTCTATTCCTACGCACCAACACAATTTACCTTCGGAGGTACCTCGAGATTTATCAGGTGTCCAACTCTTCCCTCACAGATGATGGAGCAGACATAGTACAGAATCTAGTCTGCATTTCACTGTACAACAAGCTGATTATCAAAGTCACCAACCCAGGACCAGCAGTTAGCGTAATGGCTATGTCGCTGGACTCCCACTCAGTCGACTGCGGTTCGCGTCCTGGACGCCGGGTGCATGTGCGTGTGTGCCCAAGATCCCGAGAAGAGAACGGAGGAGAAGGGATTGCGGTGTGGCCATCCCCCCTGGGGGGTGATTTCTCGCTTTCTGTCTCTCTGTCTCTCTCTGTCTGTCTAGTGAGCGCACATGCCCTATAGCAAAAACCTCTCAAAAAAAAAAAGAACAAACAAAAATACCTCTCCAAAAAACAAAAACAAAACAAAAAACCCTCAGTGTGTATCTGTCTCCCACCATAATAAAAGGTTTTTTATTCTGAAAAAATAAAAAGACACCACAAAGCATACTTTGAACTAAGATGGTGGTTTTGTGTCGTGCTCAGCACCTGCCAGGCATCATAAAGTACATTCTGATGTGTGACTTCGGCTTTACCCAGGGACTGGTTCTGTAAATGCAGTTTTGCTTACCTCCCTCCTAAAACTCTGCAAGACTTGGCAGAAAACGAATCATCAATTTGACTTGTTTCTTCAAAACTTTGACAATGACCTTGAAACTGTGGTTCTGAAAACAAGTGAATCTTTGAAAAGGTAAACAGAAATACATAAAATTATTTTCCAAAATACATTAACTCATTCAGCCTTTGTAATGACCCCAACATGACCTGGGAACTCTTGTCACAATAAACTGATTTGAATTCATAAATCCTTTAGTTTTCTGCTTCTACATTAATGATCAATTAGCAACATGTTGGCTACATAGTTTCTGACTATTAATTCAGAAACATCAAAGGAAAAAAAAAATCCAACAACAGAGGTAACTTTCGATAGAACTCGCTATATAATAGTTAAGCTGTGAGGCATTTTAAGCCTTTCTTGTGGCCACACGTAATTGTTCATCTCTCCTAACACTAATGATAAACTATACTTTGGAACACGTAGTAGTCTTTTTCCCTCTCAATGGAAGATACTTGCTGACCTATTACAATCTTACATATGCCAATAAAGAAAGTTACGGGGGTGTTTGTGTCGTCTGTGATTAGGGAGGGCCAAACACATCCATTAAAAAGTCTAAATAACAAATGCTTTGGTTGCTGTAGAGAGTCAGCATTCGAAAGGCTTCAGTGAGACCATATAAAATGTTTGGCTAATGCAGACACAGCAAATATGGAACTTCGCCTTGCTGTTTGCCACAGTATCCATATGCTGCGTTGGAACATTATCTTAGTGTATCAGCTCTGATCGAATGTGATGCTATAAAGTCAGCTTTACGTAATAACGTTTCATCAGACATATTTAGACGTGGGTCAGGGTTATCAGGTATTAAAGTAGACTCAGATCTTGTTTTTAAAATACAGTTGTGCTTTTAGACATAAAAATGGCTCAAACTAACAGAGTCCCAAATGTCTGACATTTTTACACCTGAGTTCAGCTTTTCAGTGGAAGGTGCCTAAATATAAGAAGTACACTATTGTTAAAGTTACCTGATTTCGTCTCCTTGGACCAGTGAAAGAATCCTGGAAATTTGGAAGAGAAAGAGAAAAGGAAATGAATAAAGCAGACATGTTGAAAAGTTTTTTTCCCCCTAGATCATTAACAATTAATGTTAAATATAACCTCAGAATATTTTCTGCAATCAATACCTTATAAACCAGAAACACACATTAAGGAAATCAAGAATTCAGGTAAATATTCTCATATGAAAATGGAACTCCTTACCAAACATATGGGTTGAACAGAAGAGATCTTACAGTTTTTGCCTCCCCAGTCCTCAAAGCTGGTATAAAAGCCCTTATCCAGGATGTACTGTTCTCCTGTGAACTCAGGATTTTCATAGGCTACCCATCTGAAAGAACAAAAACGATTGTTATACAGTTTATATCTGACATACAAACTATCACACACATTTAGGTAAATATGTAACATACAGAAGAAGCTTTCATTTGTTTTTCTTCTCAGTCTTGGTTTTTCTGGTTCTCTTAAAGAACACATGAATTTGGGACTGGCAGGTGGTGTGATGATTGCAGACACTGGACTCCCACACGGCCGACCATGGTTTGAGTCCCGGACCTGGCGGCTTGCTTTCTCACTTTCCCTTTCTCTCTCTCTCTCTCATTCTGTCCGTCTGGTCAAATTAAAAGAAATAAAGGTAAATAAAATAATTCTTAAAAAAAAAAAAACATGAATTTGTCTATATGACAAATAAAATGATAACCGAAAGAGTATCCTTACATGAACTTTCTTGTGTTCTCACTTCTCAAATCCTATTTTTTGAGAGGTTTTCGCTATAGGGCATGTGCGCTTGCCAGACAGACAGAGAGAGACATAGAGACAGAAAGCGAGAAATCACCCCCCAGGGGTGATGGTCACGCCGCAATCCCTTCTCCTCCATTCTTCTCTCGGGATCTTGGGCACGCACGCACATGCGCCCGGCGTGAGTTTTAAGCCACCGGGTCTGGGACACGAACCGTAGTTGACTAC